TTACCACCTATTCCATATACTTGCAACATCTGCCACATTGCTCCTCTATCCACTCTATCATATGCCTTTTCTAAATCCATAAATGCAGTAAAAACTTCCCTACCTTTATCTAAATACTGTTCACATATATGCTTCAATGTAAACACTTGATCTACACATCCCCTACGCACTCTGAAACCTCCTTGCTCTACACATCCCCTACCCACTCTGAAACCTCCTTGCTCATCCGCAATCCTACATTCTGTCTTACCTCTAATTCTTTCAATTATAAACCCCACCATACACTTTTCCTGGTATACTCAGTAAGCTTATTCCTCTATAATTTTTACAGTCTCTTTTGTCCCCTTTCCCTTTATATAAAGGGACTATACATGCTCTCCGCCAATCCCTAGGTACCTTCCCCTCTTTCATACATTTATTAAACAAAAGTACCAACCACTCCAACACTATATCCCCCCTGCTTTTAACATTTCTGTCATGATCCCATCAGTTTCCAGCTGCTTTACCCCCTTTCATCTTACGTAATGCCTCACGTACCTCCACCACACTTACATTACGCTCTTCTTCACTCCTAAAAGATGGTATACCTCCCTGACCAGTGCATGAAATTACTGCCTCTGTTTCTTCCTTAACATTTAAAAGTTCCTCCAAAATATTCTCGCCATTTACCTAATACCTCCATCTCCCTATCTACTAACTCCCCTACTCTGTTTTTAACTGACAAATCCATACTTTCCCTAGGCTTTCTTAACTTGTTTAACTCACTCCAAAATTTTTTCTTATTTTCATTAAAATTTTTTGACAGTGCCTCTCCCACTCTATCATCTGCTCTCCTTTTGCACTCTCTCACCCCCTCTCTTTACCTTTCTTTTACTCTCCATATACTCTGCTCTTCTTATAACACTTCTGCTTTGTAAAAACCTCTCATAAGCTAACTTTTTCTCTTTTATCACACCTTTTACTTCATCATTCACCAATCACTCCTCTTTCCTCCTGCCCCCACCCTCCTATAACCACAAACTTCTGCCCCACATTCTAATACTGCATTTTTTAAAACTATTCCGACCCTCTTCAACCCCCCCACTACTCATCTTTGCAACTAGCCCACCTTTCTGCCAATAGTCGCTTATATCTCGCCCGATTTTCCTCCTCCCTTAGTTTATACACTTTCACCTCCCTCTTACTTGTTGTTGCCACCTTCCTCTTTTCCCATCTACCTCTTACTCTAACTGTAGCTACAACTAAATAATGATCCGATATATCAGTTGCCCCTCTATAAACATGTACATCCTGGAGCCTACCCATCAACCTTTTATCCACCAATACATAATCTAATAAACTACTTTCATTACGTGCTACATCATACCTTGTATATTTATTTATCCTCTTTTTCATAAAATATGTATTATTACCAAATTTCTTTCTACACATAGCTCAATTAAAGGCTCCCCATTTACATTTACCCCTGGCACCCCAAATTTACCTACTACTCAGAGTTTATTTCTTGGGTAGCACTGAAAATTGGGTTGGGCAAATGTTTTGTTAGTGGGATAGATTGTAAAGGACCTGCCTAGTATGGGCTAACAGGCCTGCTGCAGTGGTCCTCCTTTCTTATGTTCTTATGGTCTGATGTTAGGCAGAAATGGCCCCTCATGAATCCATGCAGAGTATCATTAATCAGATTATGCTTATCAAGATGGTTTCTTATATTATCAGCTATAATTTAATCTAGTAATTTGCCTACAATTGAAGTCAGGCTTTTTGGGTGGTAATTTGATGGTAACGTCTTGTCCCTTGCTTTAAAATTAGGAATTACATTCACCATCTTCCACATATCAGTCACTACACCTATTTGAAGAGATGTATTAAAAATATTATTCAATGGGGATTTATTTTACTTTAATCGATTTATCTGTTTGACAACTATATTGCTAGTGACTGTGATATTACATAATTTATCTTCTTCAGGCCCACTATAAAAATTAATTATTGGGATATTATTAGTGTCTTCATGTGTGAAAATCAAGAGAAAGTATTTATTAAAAGTCGAGCACATTTCATTTTCCTTGTCAGTAAGATGCCTAGAATTATTTTTAAGGGAACCTATCTTTTGTTCCATAAACCTGGAAAAAAAACTTTCAGGTTAGTTTTCAAATTCCTAGCAACTTTTTCATAGTCCCGTTTAGCTTTTCTTATCCCCTTTTTAACCTCCCTCTTAATGTGGCCTTAATGTGCCTTGTGGCCTTAACAGTTTCCTCCCACAGTAGTGTTCCTTGGTCCCTTTACAAGTTTGGGGGACAGTATATCATGCCTACAATCAATTTTTCATTCCCCTCTGAAAATTCCATCCAGACAGACTCTGTATGTGTTATTTCAGACTTTTACCTGTTTTTATGCAACAGTTCAAGTGATCTCAGACACACAGTGCCACCCCACCCCCCCTCCCAATACTTCTGTCTACTTGGAATAATTTAAAACCCTGAATCTGACATTCAGCAGGCATGTCCCAATTTTTTGTATTTAGGCATGTCTCATTTATGGCAAATACATCAATATTACCACCACCACCTGCGACAAATCTCAACGTGTCCGTCTTATTCCTAGCACTATTACTATTAGTATGATATAAATTTAAAGACCCTCCTTTCACTTTTCCCTTTCTGCTCTTTTCTGTTTTTCTACTATACCTATTACTGTCCTTGTCACCTAATGCCACTGGCTTTCCAATATCCACCTCACTCTACCTATTACTGGTTTCCCTAAAACCTCACAGCATTACTACACTGGGACTTCATTGTTTTCCCCTCAAAACCTATACCACTATTTCTAGTTTAAAGCCCTAACAGCTCCCTCCACTGCAGTGGCCAGTGCCCCCACCCCAGACCTAGATAAGTGAACCCCATCCCTGGCATACATGTTATTTCTGCCGTAGAAGAGGTCCCAGTTGTCAATGAATGTTACTGCATTATCCTTACAGCGTTTGTCCAGCCAGCAATTGGTGTCAGTTGCTGGCTGGACATTTATTTATTTTAATAAATGAAAGTTATTTATATTATTCCAGTCCCATTTTTTTTTTATAAATTTCAAATTTTAAATACTAACCAGGGCATAGACAATGTTTCCTAACCACTGAATGGCAGTATTGTATTTGTATATGAATTACAGGAATTTTAATACTGTACAGTAGAACCTCGATACTCAAACAGGTCCCTACTCGAACAATTCAGTATTCAAAAGCTTTGTTCAGTAAAAAAATCACTTGGTAGTCTACTGTTTGCTTGGCACTCAACCAAACTAACACGACCTGTCAGAACTTTACTGTAAACTATTTCATGTTTCTTCGCATGTTTTGGTGTTATTTTTTAGATTCTTCTTTCTTTCAACACACCGGCCATATCCCACTGAGGCAGGGTGGCCCAAAAAGAAAAACAAAGGTTTCTCTTTTTAAATTTAGTAATCTATACAGGAGAAGGGGTTACTAGCCCCTTGCTCCGGCATTTTAGTCGCCTCTTACATCATGCATGGCTTACGAAGGAAGAATTCTGTTCCACTTCCCCATGGAGATAAGAGGAAATGAACAAGAATAAGAACTAGAAATAAAATAGAAGAAAACCCAGATGTGTGTGCATATATATGCCTGTACATGTATGTGTAGTGTGTCCTAAGTGTAAGTAGAAGTAGCAAGACGTACTTGAAATCTTGCATGTTTATGAGACAGAAAAAAGGACACCAGCAATCCTGCCATCATGTAAAACAATTACAGGCTTTCATTTTACACTCACTTGGCAGGACAGTAGTACCTCCATGGGCAGTTGCTGTCTACCAACCTACTACCTAGAACCTTTATTTGTATAGGCATTATAATAGTTTAAAACTTGCCTGAAATGCTGTGCACAACGTGGGTTTTGAAACTTATAAATAAAGCTTTGTTTTGTTTTTGTCTTTTCTGTTATCACTGTACTTTCAAAAATTGTCGACAGTTTTTGTCAGGACACTTCCCCACGTTTCTAAATCACTTTAAGCAGACCTTCACATATACATTTTCCAAAGACATGCATTCTTTACTGATACATATATTGCTACTGACTCTTATATTACCTTCTCTGAAATACATATTGTACTAATTTTTTTATTTGTTACTACTGCTTTCACACTTAACTTGCCTGAACTAAGTAGTAGACTCCCTGTCTCAAGTTATCACAGGGACTTCAGTGATTCACTTAAGCAGGGGTTTGCTCAAATAATAATATAATAAATGCTGTACTGTTTTTACTCTCATTATTTTTGTGTTTGTACATGCTTGTTTTGTTTCTCTCTTGTATATAGTTATGAGGCTGCTCTTGCTCTTTTCATACATATTCTTGTTTCTCAATATCAGTTTGTGTTGATGGTATCACTGGTATGATGGCTAAAAAAAAAAAAAAAAAGTCATGTCAAATTCTTTGATGTAGTATATTAAAAGTGTTTTTACAAGTCTTTAACATTTGGAGATACAGTAGTTGAAAAAATCTTGTAACTCTAACATTATTAAAAAAAGCTATTTAAAAGGGCAGTATTGTTATTTTACTGAAAATGTGATTATGGTATAATTTTATTCGTCAAACACTGTTGTCATAATAATGCTGCAATGTACCGGTGATACATTTTGGTTAACAATTTTGGGTAAATATACAGTCTTAATCCTTGTGCAAAAAATTCAACATTGCTATAATGAAAGTTTCTTTGGGTCACTTTATCTTAGTGAGAAACGGCCAGTGTGTTAAAAAATATTAAAATAAAAATCTGGTATTGGTGTAGCAGTGTAAGAAACATCATGATAAATTGGTCTTGAGAAGGCACACTACATAAGTTATGAAACTACTGCACTATTACTTTCTTTTATATATGAGAAAGGTTTACTTTCACAGCATACTAGGGAATGCTTCTTATACTCACTTCATAGTAAGGGAATAAAAATAAAAAAAGACAGTTACAGTGTTTTTTTATTTGATTTTTTCCAGAGTGTTGCCTCAAGCTTAGGTGAAAATTTTGGAATTAATGTGGGGATCGTTTTGGGTGGAAGAACTAAGCAAAAAATGCTACATCCACGCATGTCTCAGCATCACCTTCTCATAGCAACCATTGGTGCTTTATCTAAACTCACAACTGTAGGTAAGTTAGTATGTAATAACTACACAGGCTCTAAGTAGTAAGTTGGTAGACAGCAATCACTCAGGGAGGGTGGTTGCTGTCTACCAACCTTCTCCTTACACTTAGGTCACACTAAACATGCATGCACAAGCTTATACAGTGGACCCCCGACTTACGATTAGCTCCCAACTCGAACAATTATGTAAGTGTATTTTTCTAAGTGCTTTTGTAAGCGTATTTTTGGGGGTCTGATACAGACTAATCTAATTTACAATATTTCTTAAGGGAGCAAATTCATTCGGTAACGGCACCCGAACAGCCTTCTGGAACTAATTAATATTGTAAGTCGAGGGTCCACTGTATATACACACACCCCTCTGGGGTTTTCTTTCTATTTTCTTACTAGTTCTTGTTTGTTTTTTCTTATCTCCATGGGAAAGTGGAACAGAATTCTTCCTTCATAAGCCATGCGTGTCGTAAGAGGCGATTAAAATGCCGGAAACTAGGGGCTAGTAACCTCTTCTCCTGTTTACATTACTGAAGTTAAAAAGAGAAACTTTCGTTTTTCTTTTGGGGCCACCCTGCTTCAGTGGGATACGGCCGGTTTGTTGAAAGAAGAAAACTACATTTGATGTTTCTAGTTTTAAAATCTCAGCTCTTTACTATCTCCAGTAAAAAGGGACACCATTTGGTGGCTAGATAAACCTTAGCTTGCATCTTGTCTTCTTCCTGCTCTACTCCATTTCATACCCAGAAAATTCAGTGATTGTAGCTAATACTTGGATCCTCTTTAACATCTTATTTCTTAATACAGTACCTACAAATATTAAATTTTTTTTTACATATTACTTTCTTCTTTCAACAAACTGGCCGTATCCCACCAAAGCAGGGTGGCCTAAAAAGAAAAAAATTCCTCTTTTCAACTTTAGTAATGTATACAGGATAAGGGGTTACTAGCCCCTTGCTCCTCACATTTTAGTCGCCTCTTACAACACGCATGGCTTACGGAGGAAAAATTCTGTTCCAATTCCCCATGGAGAACGTATTACATAATTTTATTATTTTTGGGCCTCAGACTTCAACTGTCTCAGACAGTGTGTGTGATTGTCTAAACTTTGAAAATCCTAGGCAGTCTCAATATTGTACAGGACTTTATACATCATATTACAGTAATTACATCATCATTCCTTACCCTGCTTTTTTAAGAAATATGTATAAGAACATTCCCTAGTTCTTTCATTAATTGTAGATTTCTGTCACTTGACTCATTACATATCATCACACTCATAATCTGTCTTACAATATTTATATGTACATTCCTATGGTATTTATACAGGTACAACACCAATTTACTAGGAACAGATAATTCGATACCTGTTTTAATTTGGACAGAATTACGATACTACTACTATGTCAAAATAGTTTACCTGGTGGCTACAGATAGCATTGTATATAGTGCTTGCTCACTTATATTGTTTACACTGCAGTTGGTGGTGGTGATCCCTTCATTCTGTGCAATTATTAGCATATTTTGCTAACAGCCTTATCTATGGCTAGTGAGTAACTCTGCAGGTCCAGTAAAATTCTAAAATTTACCACTCCAGGAGTAGTAGTACTGAAACATTCTTTGTTCACTTATATATAAATCTCTTTCATTTATCCTAATGTTAATTTAAGTTTCCAGCAGACCATGGTGGGTCAGAAGTGTATTGTTCAGTTGTTATTATATCACCTCTTTTGGTCTGGCAAAGTTGATATACAGTGGTCCCTTGAGATACAATGGGCTGGAGTCTCAATAATTTTGAGTTATGATTTACCCTTGTAAAGAAATTTAGTTCGGAGTGGCAGTGAAAATTTTGAGATACTATACATGTACAGTGGTCGATGGGCGTGGGTGGGGTCTCAGTCCAGAGACAAGACAGGGTGATGAAAAGGTCTTAAATGGAGTGATAGTGGAGCATGTGTTGGAGGTGAGTGGAGGGGGGGGGTGATGGGAGGGAGGGAGAGAGGCCATAAGTGTACTAGACAAGGATGGTGGGAGACAGTGATGAGTGCTAATATTAAGCCTACAGTTCTTTACTAATATGCCTGCAGGCCTGCCCACCCTTCCTCCTCTGCCCTGTCCTGCTTACCCTACCCTGGACATAAATCTATGAAAGCTAGACTTACTCTGCTGTTGGGTGCTAATGCCTCTGGATATTTCAAGCTGCAGCCTCTGCTTGTTTATCACTTAGAAAGCCCCAAAGTGTTTAAACAGCAAAAATAATACAAGGGCAGGTTGGGTGTGTTCTGGCATTTTGGACTGAATTACCATAAAACCATGTATTTTGGGGTTTGAGTTGCAATATTTTGGAGATATGATACATTTTCTGGAATATATGAATATCATAACTCAAAGGACCACTGAACCGGCAAAGCCTAGGAATGAAGGGTGTCAGAAAATCAGTATTGTACTTGTATTTATAAATTTATTACCATGTATTACTACTGTATCATTGCTGTCAGTATTGTTGTCATCATTGTGTTTATCATCATCATCATTGGTATCATTATCATCATTATCATTATCAAGTTAATAATGTATGTTTTCCTTCAAAAAATTAATTGCACATTATTTAGTAGCAAGTATAAGAGACAAATGTCACATGTAAATATGTAATTAAATGCTTCCCAGTTCTTTGACTGAAATTTTTTTTTTTAAAAATCTCATCTAAGAGTTAGTCATTCAGGGTTTATGTATATATAATACAGTACTGTACTGTAATATACACCATGTGCATTTTTTTTTTTCAACAAGTTGGCCGTCTCCCACCGAGGCAGGGTAACCCAAAAAAAGAAAGAAAATCCCCAAAAAGAAAATACTTTCATCATCATTCAACACTTTCACCACACTCACACATTATCACTGTTTTTGCAGAGGTGCTCAGAATACAACAGTTTAGAAGCATACACATATAAAGATACACAACATATCTCTCCAAACTGCCAATATCCCAAACCCCTCCTTTAAAGTGCAGGCATTGTACTTCCCATTTCCAGGACTCAAGTCCGACTATATGAAAATAACCGGTTTCCCTGAATCCCTTCACTAAATATTTACCCTGCCTCACACTCCAACAGATCATGAGGTCCCAAGTACATTCGTCTCATTCACTCCTATCTAAACCGCTCATGCACGCTTGCTGGAAGTCCAAGCCCCTTGCCCACAAAACCTCTTTACCCCCTCTCTCCAACCCTTTCGAGGATGACCCTACCTCGCCTTTCTCCCCTATAGATTTATATGCTTTCCATGTCATTCTACTTTGATCCATTCTCTCTAAATGACCAAACCACCTCAACAACCCCTTTATGCTCTCTGACTAATTACTTTTATTAACTCCACACCTTTTCCTAATTTCCACACTCCGATTTTCTGCATAGTATTTACACCACACATTGCCCTTAACCCTTTGACTGTTTTCGACATATAAATACGTCTTACGAGCCAATGTTTCTGACGTATATATACTCAATAATTCTAGCGGCTTCAAATCAAAGCGGGAGTAAAGACTGGTAGGCCCCATGTGAGAGAATGGTCTGTGTGGTCAGTGTGCACCACATAAAAAAAAATCCTGCAGCACACATTACGTAATGAGAAAAAAAAAAACTGATCGTTTTTTGGAATAAAACGCCGACTTTGAGGTGTATTTTCGTATAGTATTTATCGTTGTATTTGCGTTTTCATGGTCTTAGGTGATAAAATGGAAAACATATTACAGAAATAGAGATGATTTTCATTACTTTGACGATGAAAACGACCTTGAAACTGAGCTCAAAGTTGCGGAAATGTTCGATTTTTACCAATGTTCAGGAGTAAGTAAATCACACCACACGTCCAATACACGTCAGCTGGGGAGTCCTAGTGAAACTGATATTATTTATACCATTTTTACAATAATGCAGTAGTCTGCATAACAGTAAATTTTGTATTTTTTTGTATGAATAAAAAATCAAAATAGAAAGCAATAATAATATAAGAGGGGCCTAGAGATGTGACTAATGGATAGAGCATATGTTATTTTAGTGCCACGAATGTCTACCTTGTTTATTCTGGACCCTATTTTGAAATTGGCATCTTTTTTAGTTTGCGTGAAATTGGCCAAATTGCCAATTTCTGACCACCATATTGGGTAGTCAGAATTAGTAAATGGGAGGTTTCTTGTACTCAGCTGATAGATAAAATGGAGTTCTAAAGAAATAGCTATGAGTTTGGTCAACTGGAACAATGGAATTGGCTGAAAATAGGGCTCAAAGTCGGCGAAATCGCCAATACTCATATGTCGCCGAGACCGCTTAATTCGCGGGAGCATAATTCCATGAGTTTTCGACCAATTTTCGAACTTTTGGTGTCATTACCATCGGTAAAAGATTCTCTATCATTTCATAAGAAAAATAATTTTTTTTTTTTTTTAAAAATTGAGCGACATAGAATGACAGTTTCAGAGAGGAGCCTGAAACAGTCAAAGGGTTAAACAGGACATCTCCACTGCCTCCAACCGTCTCCTCGCTGCTGCATTTACCACCCAAGCTTCACACCCATGTAAGAGTGTTGGTACTACTATACTTTCATACATTCCCTTCTTTGCCTCCATAGATAACGTTTTTTGACTCCACATATACCTCAACGCACCACTCACCTTTTTTCCCTCATCAATTCTATGATTAACCTCATCCTTCATAAATCCATCCGCCGACACGTCAACTCCCAAGTACTATCTGAAAACATTCACTTCTTCCATACTCCTCCTCCCCAATTTGATATCCAGTTTTTCTTTATCTAAATCATTTGATACCCTCATCACCTTACTCTTTTCTGTGTTCACTTTCAACTTTCTACCTTTACACACATTCCCAAACTCATCCACTAACCTTTGCAATTTTTCTTTAGAATCTCCCATAAGCACAGTATCATCAGCAAAAAGTAACTGTGTCAATTCCCATTTTGAATTTGATTCCCCAAAATTTAATCCCACCCCTCTCCCAAACACCCTAGCATTTACTTCCTTTACAACCCCATCTAGAAATATATTAAACAACCATGGTGACATTACACATCCCTGTCTAAGACCTACTTTTACCGGGAAGTAGTCTCCCTCTCTTCTACACACCCTAACCTGAGCCTCACTATCCTCATAAAAATCTTTACAGCATTTAATAACTTACCACCTATTCCATATACTTGCAACATCTGCCACATTGCTCCTCTATCCACTCTATCATATGCCTTTTCTAAATCCATAAATGCAGTAAAAACTTCCATACCTTTATCTAAATACTGTTCACATATATGCTTCAATGTAAACACTTGATCTACACATCCCCTACCCACTCTGAAACCTCCTTGCTCATCTGCAATCCTACATTCTGTCTTACCTCTAATTCTTTAAATTATAACCCTACTGTACACTTCCTGGTATACTCAGTAAACTTATTCCTCTATAATTTTTACAGTCTCTTTTGTCCCCTTTCCCTTTATATAAAGGGACTATACATGCTCTCTGCCAATCCCTAGGTACCTTCCCCTCTTTCATACATTTGTTAAACAAAAGTACCAACCACTCCAACACTATATCCCCCCCAGCTTTTAACATTTCTGTCATGATCCCATCAGTTCCAGCTGCTTTACCCCCTTTCATTCTACGTAATGCCTCACGTACCTCCACCACACTTACATCCTGCTCTTCTTCACTCCTAAAAGATGGTATACCTCCCTGACCAGTGCATGATTTTTGTTATTAATAGTATTATTACAATGTTGTATTAGTATTGTATTTTTTTTTTTTCAACAATCTGGCCATATCTCACCAAGGCAGGGTGGCCCAAAAAGAAAAATGAAAGTAGTAGTGTATTTATTAACTGGTAATCATTTTGCTTGCAGGTGTTTATGATACATCCCTTGTAAGACACGTAACACTTGATGAGGCTGATACATTACTTGACGACTCTTTCAATGATCAAGTGTCACGATACATCTCCAAATTCCCAGTTAGTATAAAAATGTATCATTGTTAACAAATATGAGGCTTATATTTTGACCACGTTTATTGATTGTTATGAAAATTATTTGAAATTCCACTGGTCTTACATTAAATTCAACTACAGTTGAATCCCGAAATTCATAAGCTTTAGGGCATCTCTGATAGTTTTGAATATTCAGATTATAGTGGTACCAACATCCTTATGTGGGTGTGAAGCATGGGTTTTAAATGTAGTAGTGAGGAGGAGGCTGGAGGCACTGGAGATATGCCTGAGGGCAGTGTGTGGTGTGAATTTTTTGCAGAGAATTCATAGTTTGGAGATTAGAAGGAGGTGCAGGGTTACTAAAAGTATTATCCAGAGGACTGAGAAGGTGTTATTGAGATGGTTTAGATATTTAGAGAGGATAGAACAAAACAGGGTGTATGAATCTGTAGTGGAGAGAAAGCAGAGTAGGGGTCATCCTTGGAAAGATTGGATGGAGGGGGTAAACGATGTTTTGTATGTTGAACCTTGAAATAGATGGGCTACAGCAACAGAAGACCACACTGAGTTCCACTCTTGTCAGCTAAGAACAGTTGCCTGATCTGACAAATTGCAGTTTCTGCTGTGACATTCAGATGGTAGGGTCAGAATTTGGCATAAACAACATGAATCCATGGATCCATCCTGCCTTATGCCAATGGTTCAGGCTGGTTGTGGTGGTGTAATGGTGTGGTAAATGTTTTCCTGGCATACATTAAGCCCCATAATACCAACTGGGCATAATTTAAATGCCACAACCTTCCTGAATATTGTTGATGACCATGTGCATTCCTTTATAGCCACAGTCTACTCATCTTCCAGTAGTTACCTCCAACAGGATAACATGCCATGTCACAAAACACATGTCATCTCAAGCTGGTTCCACAAGGTACAGCAAAAATTAGCTAGAAAAGGGATAGAAATGGGAAATGCAAGTGACATGCATTTAGGTAAAAGTAAATCCTCAGTAAAACATTATGACTATCCTAAACTACCAAATATTTCTCACTTTATTGCCACCAGGAATGAGAAGGAATTATAAGCTTTGTTGTTTTTTGTAATGTAACATAATTTCTATTAATGTCTAGTATGTTTCTTAGGTTCAAGGAAGTAGATATGAAGAGAAGCAGCAGCAGCCATTAGTAATGTCTGGTATACAGTTAACACTAGTATCAGCTACACTGCCACTCAGCCTCCACACTATCCTGGATCCTATTGTAGATGTAAGTTGATTTCTTAAAAGAACCCCAGTATAATTGAAAAATTGAGTAAGCATTTGCCTTCTTCAGCTGTTTGCAAGTATTTGTAATTGATTTTACAAGTGCAGCTGCTGACTAAAACGACAGTGTTTCCATAAACTAATGTCGTTATGGTTTTAAATGAAAGTTTTACATGTAATTTCTGAGTCTGAATATCAATGTATGATAGTTAAAATATAATAATTATTAGTTTACATTGATTATTAAAGCTAAAATGCAAGCCTAATAACTGTGAAATAATTATTCCTTTGAAATAAGAATAATTACTAGGGTTGTTCAGGAAAACTGAGAAATCAAATTTATTCATTTGTAATTTTTTTTTTTTTTTTTCAACAAGTCGGCCGTCTCCCACCGATCTGCCTTGATAATTTAATACCATTAATTATAATATATTTTGCTCTTAATTTCAGCTTGAATCTATTACAAATATCACAACTCCATACCTCAACCACCTCATGCCACATGTATCTCAGCGTTTCTTTCGCGTTAACCACCTAACAAAGGCAGAGAAACTCTTGGAATTGGTAAAAAAAGATGCAAAAAAAGGAACCCCAGTTGTGATATTTAGGTGAGAAATGTCTTTGTTAACTTTTGTAGCTGTAATTTTTTTGTACCTGTGGTAATTTTCGAGTATGTACAGTACACTATGAAAAAGAAAAATTACATAATTTTTTAGTACGTATCTGATTCTGTAAAATATATTGATGGCTATGTTTTTCTGTTTAAAAAATGTTACAATCATGATTTTTATGAGCAGAAACTAAAACATTTGTTTATGTTATATCAAATTCTCTCTGCATCTCATAACTTCAGTGATCCATCATACTTCTGTACTGTTCTGTGCTCATCACTCCTTTTAAGGCAGCTGGAAGACATTAGAGAAATCATTCAGCATTGAATATTTTGGGAAAATAGAATGTCTGTGGCCTCGTATACATGATTTTTTTTAAATGATATTTACCATACATCTTACCTGGAGTATACCTGAAGAGGGTTTTGGGGGTCAACACCCCTGAGGCCTGGTCTGTGACCAAGCCTTGTGGTGGATCAGGACCTGATCAACCAGATTGTTACTGCTGGCCACACACAAACTGACATATGAACCTCAGTCCAGCTGGTCAGGTACTGACTTTAGCTGCCTCTCCAGTACCTTCTTGAAGACAGCCAGGGGTCTATTGGTAATCCCCCTTATGTATGCTGGGAGGCAATTGAACAGTCTTGGGTCCCTGACACTTACTGTGTTGTCACTTAGTGTACTAGTAGCATCCCTACTTTTCATTGGAGGGGATGTTGCATCTCCTACCTAGTCCTGCTTTTGTAGGGAGGATTTTCCAAGTGTATATTTTATGTATCTTTCTCTCTTGCATTCCAGGGAGTACAAATCAGGGGCTCAACTGTTTCCAGTAATTTGGGCGCTTTAACGTACTTATACATTCCTTGAAAGATCTCTGTACATTCTCCAGGTATGCAGTTTCATCTGCCTTGAAAGGGGCTGTTAGTGTATAGCAGTATTCCAGCCTAAAGAGAACAAGTGACTTGAAGAGAATCATCATTGGTTTGGCATCCCTAATTTTGAAGGTTCTCATTATTCATCCTATCATTTTCCTAGGAGATGTGGTAGACATTGTTGTGATCTTTGAAAGTGAGATTCTCAGACATTATCACTCAGGTCCTTCACATTAGTTTTTCGCTCTGTTGTGTCATTGGAACTTGTTTTATACTCCAATCTAGTTTTTATTTCCTTGAGTTTTCCATAGTGGAGTAATTGAAATTTGTCTTCATTGAACTTCATATTGTTTTCCGAGGCCCATTTAAAGACATGGTTAATGTCTGCTTGAAGATTTGTAGTGTCTTCAATGGATGACACTTGTGCAAATTCTGGTATCATCAGCAAAGGAGGACATGGTGCTGTGGTTTACATCTCTGTCTATGTCAGATATGATGATGAGGAAAAGGATGGGAGCGAGTACCGTACTTTGGGGAACAGAGTTTTTCACTGTGGCCTCCTCTGACTTGACTCTGTTTATTATTACTGTCTGTGTTGTCTTTTTTAGGAAGTTATAGATCCATCTACCAACTTTTCCTCTTATTCCTTTATCACATATTTTGTGCTGTTACGCCATGATCACACTTGTCAAAGGCATTCACAAAGTCTGTGTATACAGGCCTGCCATCACAAAACCGGCATCATTGGGACCTGTAGTGTGCCGGATTACTGAGTTTGCCGGATTACAGAGTGGTTAGGTTAGAATACACTTAATAAAATTAACCAACTTGACTTACACAAGAAAGTTCATTGAACATCGGCAAAAATCAAACATTTCCGCTACTTTGAGCTCAGTTTCAAGGTACTTTTCATCGTGAAACCAATCAAAATCATATCTGTTTCTGTAATATATCTTCCATTCTATCAAATGAGACCAAAAAATTGAGAATACAACCATGAAAACCATATGAAAATATACCGCAAAGAGGTGGCTAATGGCTGAAAAGTGAACTCCTTCATTTATCGTCTGTTTTTTTTTTTTTTTTCGTTTTTGGTGTATGTTAAGAAGCATCTTTCCATCATACGTTGCCCAAGTTTCAATAAGATAGCCCAACAAACAACTGAGGAAAAAAAATATTTACCAAAAATCATATACTATTGCAAGCCCAAGCCAGGTACTGGGAAATAATCCTTTTCTGCTTTTTTTGGGTTATCCTGGTACCTAGCATAGTGCTATGTATGATAATCGTGAAACGTATTTTTTATACCTGAATAAACTTATTATTTACTTCTTTCTTTTGCTGAATACAAAAAACCCGCCCATTCACCTATTTCAACTACCCAATTAAAAGGTCAAATTGGCATTTGGCCAAAATTCACACAAATTTCAAAGATCCCAATTTAAAAAGCAGTGTCCAAAATAAACAAGCAGACTTCCTGGCTTTAAAAAATAACATTTTTCTGTTCATTAGTCAGGCTCCAGGCCCCTCTTAATTACTCTTGTTATCATTTGGAATTTTTTTTTCACACAAAAATGGAAGATTTACTTTTTCCGATACTGCTTATTTAAAAATTATATAAATAATGTCAACCCATTCTTGACTGCATTTTGGGGGAATTTGGGACTGGCGGGAAACGTATTAGAATAGCAGTTTATCTTAAAAATCATAAGAAAAAAACATTTCCCCACAGAGTCAAATTTCAGGACTTTTTTTTGTGAAAAGAATTCAAAATAATTATTTTTGTAATATATTTTCCCATTGTATCAAATAAACCCAGAAATGAGATACAACAATAAAAACCATAGAAAAATACCGCTAGGGGGCCTAATGGCTGAGAAGTGAACCCCGTCTTTTAGGTTGATTTTTTCTTTTTTGGGTGTACAAAAAACATCTTTCCCTCAACATTCCCCAATTTCAGTAAGGGAACCCCAAAAACAAAAATAATAATAACAATAAAATTTTTTTACACAATACAGGGCATGGGATGTCCTACGACACAGTGAAAACTATTAGAAAGCCCTTGTTATGCTAAACATTTAGGCAAATTGGGGCAGTATCCCAGGACAACTAAAAACCAGTCCACAACCCCAGGTACCCATTTATGATGGGGGAAACATAGACAAAAGGGGAAAAAAAAACACGCCCCGGTTTCTACCCCGGGTGGGGAAAAAATATTTACCCAAAAAACATATTGGGTAGCCCAAGCCCGGGATAGAATTTGACCTTTTGACTTTTTTGGGGGGCCAGGGGGTTACACTTCGTATGTTGATAATTTTATATGTAAGAAAATAGCCTTTTTTTTTCAGTTTTGGTACGTACAGTGTAATCACGTTAGCCATGGCTATACTCCGTTTTTTCAATATAAGCCCCCCAAAACAGGGATAGGGAATAGTCTTTTATCCATATCCTCTTCATACCTCCATTGAACTGCTCGTTTTTTTGGGGGGAAAGTTTTCCCTTCTGGAAATTTAACGTGTTTTTAGAATTTATATTTTTTATTTGTCATTTTGATCATTGTGATAGACAAAAACTTATGTTGATATTCCCTAATAATAAAGCATATTCCCCTGCATTACGAGACTGAGCTCATGGCAACTGACAGTGGCTTCAAAGCCACCTTATCTTTACTGGACAATGTACTGTGTAGGTGCTTCACACAGCAAGAATCATTTCTTTTATTTGTTGGAACCATGGCTAGGGCTAAAAGTAAGCAGGTTATAACAATAAATGGAGAAAAAGAAATTGGAATGACTTATGCAGCAAGTAGCGCCACCAAACAGTACCAGCAGGTTGGTGTGGCGACCCTGGAAATTTGAAATTATGCTAGCTGAAATTAGTGCCGAATAACTGTTGGAACTGGATGTCTGATTGCCGGATTTGTGATGGCAGACCTGTACTACATCTGCATTTTGACTGTCCTCCAGGGCATCCAAGACCATGTCATAGTGATCCAGTAGCTGTTAGAGGTAGGAGCAACTCATTCTAAATCCATGCTGCCCTGGATTGTGTAATTGATGGGTATCCAAGTGGTTGGCAATCTTGCTTCTTAGAACCCTTTCAAAGATTTTTATGATGTGGGACATTAGGTCTATTGGCCTGTAATTCTTTGCAATTGCTTTACTGCCACCTTTGTGAAGTGGGGCTATATCTGTTGTTTTTAGTGACTGGGATGCTCTTTCTCCATAGAATAGTTAATCCACATAAAAAGGGTTTCTTGCAGTTCTTGATGAACACAGAGTTCCACGAGTCTGGGCCTGGGGCAGAGTGCATAAGCATGTCATTTATTGCTTTTTCAAGATCTTGTGGTGTTAGGATTATATCAGAAATTCTTGAATTAGCCAAATTTTGAGTCTGTCATAAAAAATTCATTTAGATTGTCACTCCTTAGCCTGATTAATGGCTCACTAAATGCTGAATCTTATTGGGACTTCAGTATCTCACTTATTTCTTTGCTGTCATCTGTGTAAGTCTATCTTGCTTAAGCAGGGGCCCAATACTGATGTGGTTTTTACCTGAGATTTGGCATAAGAAAAGAAATTTTATTTTTTTCATTTTCATTTATGGCTTTAAGTTCTTCCTGTGTTTCTTGGCTCCTGTATGATTCCTTAAGCTTAAGTTCGATATTTTCTATTTCTCTGGCCAGTACTTTCTTACGTATTTCAGATAGACTGGCCCCTTTGAGCAGCTTTGCTTTTCTTTGCCTTTGCCTGTAGAAGGAGCATCTCTCTCATTTCAGTTTACATCTCTTCATTTTTCTTAGTGGAATGTGACTTGAGCATACCTCAAGTGCCACAGAGTTAATTCTTTCTAGGCAAAGGTTTGGATCTGTGTTGTGTAGGATATCATCCCAGCTTGTTTCATTTAGGCCATGGTTAATTTGATCCCACTGTGTGTTTCTGTTATTGAAGTTGAATTTGGTGAAGGCACCCCTTATAACTGATCTCATTTTGCTGCTCAGGAGCTCTGCACATGTATGTCTGTATTTCAATTATATTGTGATCCAAGTGTACTGCCTTTAATACTTTGATACTGTTATATTTCACACCAGTTCATCATTATTAGTGAAGATAAGGTCAGGTGTATTTTCTGGTCTTCTTGGATCCACTATTTGCTGGCTTCAGGTAAATTTGTTGCAGAGGTTTAATAGCCCATGTATGTGTGTGAATTTTCATGTGAGCAATACCTCCATATACTAACTCCCCTACTCTGTTTTTAACTGACAAATCCATTTGTTCCCTAGACTTTCTTTACCTGTTTAATCTCACTCCAAAATTTTTTTGTTATTTTCATCAAAATTTCTTGACAGTGCCTCTCCCACTCTATCATCTGCTCTCCTTTTGCACTCTCTTCACCTTTCTTTTACTCTCCATATACTCTGCTCTTCTTATAACACTTCTATTTTGTAAAAACCTCTCATAAGCTACCTTTTCGTCTTTTATCACACTTTGCTTCATTCCACCAATCACTCCTCTTTCCTCCTGCACCCACCCTCCTATATCCACAAACTTCTGCCCTACATTCTAATTCTGCATTTTTAAAACTATTCCAACCCTCTTCAACCCCCCCCCCCCCCTCACTACTCATTCTTGCACTAGCCCACCTTTCTGCCAATAGTTGCTTATATCTCACCCGAACTTCTTCCTCCCTTAGTTTATGCACTTTCACCTCTCTCTTACTTGTTGCCATTTTCCTTTTGTCCTATCTACCTCTTACTCTAACTGTAGCTACAACTAAATAATGATCCAGTATATCAGTTGCCTCTCTATAAACATGTATGTCCTGAAGCCTACCCATCAACCTTTTATTCACCAATATATAATTTAACAAACTACTTTCATTACATGCTATATCATACCTTCTATATTTATTTATCCTCTTTTTCATAAAATATGTATTACTTATTACCAAACCTCTTTCTGCACATAGCTCAATTAAAGGCTCCCCATTTTCATTTACCCCTGGCACCCCAAATTTACCTACTACTCCCACAACATTTTTCCCACTTTAGCATTGAAATCCCCAACCACAAGTACTCTCACACTTGGTTCAAAACTCCCCACACACTCACTCAATTCCCAAAACCTCTCTCTCTCCTCTACACTTCTCTCTTCTCCAGGTGCATATACACTTACTATAACCCACTTTTCACATCCAACTCCACATAATCCTTGAATTAATACATTTATACTCCCTCTTTTCCTGCCATAGCTTATCCTTCAACATTATTGCTACTCCTTCTTTAGCTGTAACTCTATTTGAAACCCCTGACCTAATCCCATTTACTTCTCTCCACTGAAACTCTCCCACCCCCTTCATCTTTGTTTCACTTAAAGCCAGGACATCCATCTTCTTTTCATTCATAGCATCCACAATCATTTCTTTCTTATCATTCGCACAACATCCACGCACATTCAGACATCCCACTTTGATAGTTTTCTTCTTCTTTTAAGTAATTTGTACAGAAAAAGGTGTTACTAGCCCATTGTTCCCGGCATTTTAGTTGACTTTTACAACACGCATGGCTTAAGGAGGAAAGATTCCTATTCCACTTCCCCATGGATATAAAAGGAAAAATAATAAAAACAAGAACTATTAAGATAAAATCAAAGAAAACTCAGATCTTTCTTTCAGCACACTGGCCGGATCCCACCGAGGCGGGGTGGCCCAAAAGGAAAAACGAAAGTTTCTCCTTTTACATTTAGTAATATATAAAGGAGAAGGGGTTACTAGCCCCTTGCTCCTGGCATTTTAGTCGCCTCTTACAACACGCATGGCTTACGGAGGAAGAATTCTGTTCCACTTCCCCATGGAGATAAGAGGAAATGAACAAGAACTAGAAAGAAAATAGCAGAAAACCCAGAGGGGTATATGTATATATATGCTTGTACATGTATGTGTAGTGTGACCTAAGTGTAAGTAGAAGTAGCAAGACGTACCTGAAACCTTGCATGTTTATGAAACAGAAAAATGGACACCAGCAATCCTACCATCATGTAAAACAATTACAGGCTTTCGTTTTACACTCACTTGGCAGGACGGTAGTACCTCCCTGGGCGGTTGCTGTCTACCAACCTACTACCTAGAGAAAACTCAGATGAGTGTGTATAAATAAATGTGTACATGTATGTGTAGTGTGACCTAAGTAACACTAGTTATTGGTAGGAAATCTGTAAACATCTAGGACAACCAGTAGTCTGCCTGACCACTGCCAGTTGTTTAAAGAATTATCACAGCTATTTACTGTATATTCTTAATTTATTATTGTTTTACTTGTTCACTTTGCTAAATGGAATTATTCATGTAATATACCATAGCTGTTCTGAAGGTGTTTGGATTGTTTAGCTAGGAGGATACTGAGATTTCAAGCTGGACCCCAAACCTGATCTTCACCATGCAGTAGAAAACACAGGGCAATTCTGAGGGTCAGATTTTGAAAAGAAAAAAGTGCATCTTGTATGTGGCAAAATATAATAATACAGCATCTAAATCACTGAGAATGCCACAAATTTCATGTAATATACTTTGGAATGGAGGAATGATGTAAACAATTATATATACATGGAAAATACTTCAAGTGCCAGGCCCTCATTTTGCACACTGCCATAAACTACTGGGATTGAGAAATATGGAATGGAGTGCAAATTAAAACCAGTGAAAAGCTGGGTACTATAAACATAATAGGTTTAGCACTTAGTTTTGATTATAATAATATAAACATAATTAGTCAACACTGTATCCATATCCATGGTTCACAAGTATTCAGCTTGTTACTAGCACATATAAGAAATATTGTGAGAACAAAGGTAGCCATTTTCAAGAGGAAACTGTATTACTCTCTGCTGAATGCCTGATCATCTGTGTTGTGATGGTTGTGTGGGCCATTAGCAGTAACAGCCTGGTTGATTAAGTAATCAGTAAGGAAGCCTGGCCTCAGACCAGGCTGTGAGGATAGGAAAACCCTTCTTGAAACAAGTCATAGGTATTTCCTAATTATCTCTATCACTCCATCACATTTTAACTTCTTATACTATAAATTTTTAATTCTTTTTAACATGTCAGCCTGCTAAATTTATTAAATAAAGGCTACTGGCAGCAACAGCTTTGTTGATCAGGCAGTGAACAATGTAATCTAGCCTTAGAAGAACCCTTAAAACTGGTCACAGGCATATCTCACAGACATCTTTTGTTTTCCGTAAGACATTACAAGTTTGTTTTTCCTCAGACTTTGATGTGATTGACTAAACTTTACAATAATCTTCTGTTTACAACAGCAACTACAGTAAGACATGTGATTGGCTATCATTATTCCTAAATGAGAACGGCGTGCCATGTATCAGATTTCATGGCAACATGCAAGCTGAAAGTAGAAAAGGTCTCTTTGAGACTTTCCAATCTGGCAAAGTACTGGCCCTCTCCTGCACAGATTTGGCATCACGTGGCTTAGATACTGTTACAGTAAGTTCTGTTTTTATTATTCATTTCAAAATATATTTTAAAGACATTACCCTCTTTATCTTTTTGAGCTCTATATATATTGTGTTTTAGTGCATAGTTGGTTTCATAAAATTATTTTTAAATTTTAGTACTTTTACACAAATAACTCGCGCTGAGGTCTTAGTTAGACCAAAATGTCATCGTAAGTTTCAGTCTCCTAAGTGCAGGTTATTTGTATATTGTTCCAGCCATGGCATTGTGACTTTTTATTCTCTTATATGTCTTGATATTTACCACCCCCAAGGCTGGCCATGTGATCAATTTCGAGTTTCCAAAGTTCATTGCTGATTATATACATCGATGTGGACGAACAGGAAGAGTTGGCAGCAAAATGACTGGTTTAGTGACAAATTTAGTACACCGTCCTCAAGAAATTGAACTTGTTCAAAAGATCGAGGTAAGGTATAATAATACAGTATGTTCACAGAAAAAAATGGCAGGTGTTAAACCAGATAAGAACCCAACAAATAAATCTGTGCTTATAAATTAAGCAGTTTAGAAAGCACAATACTGTTCGATAAATACCTGATTAACTATTTTTTTGTTTGGCATCACAATCAGCAGCCCACTTGTTGGTCCTAATATGCCCCCACAATTATCAATAGACTAGGTAGATAATAATAATAATAATAATTAGGCATTTAGATATTCTTGAGTGCTCTTCTTTTAAGAAATTCACAGGTGCTTGCACACCAAGCCATAAATGCAACAGCTATGAAGAAAAAAATGCTAATGTTTATATTCAAATGTGTGTAAAGGTAGAAAGTTGAAAGTGAACATAGAAAAGAGTAAGGTGATGAGAGTATCAAATGATTTAGATAAAGAAAAATTAGATATCAAATTGGGGAGGAGGAGTATGGAAGAAGTGAATGTTTTCAGATATTTGGGAGTTGACGTGTCAGCGGATGGATTTATGAAGGATGAGGTTAATCATAGAATTGATGAAGGAAAAAAGGTGAGTGGTGCATTGAGGTATATGTGGAGGCAAAAAATGTTATCTATGGAGGCAAAGAAGGGAATGTATGAAAGTATAGTAGTACCAACACTCTTATATGGGTGTGAAGCTTGGGTTGTAAATGCTGCAGCGAGGAGGCAGTTGGAGGCAGTGGAGATGTCCTGTCTGAGAGCAATGTGTGGTATAAATATTATGCAGAAAATTTGGAGTGTGGAAATTAGAAGGCGTGGAGTTAATAAAAGTATTAGTCAGAGGGCTAAAGAGGGTTTGTTGAGGTGGTTTGGTCATTTAGAATGGATCAAAGTAGAATGACATGGAGAGCATATAAATCTGTAGGGGAAGGAAGGCAGGGTAGGGGTTGTCCTCAAAAAGGTGGGAGGGAGGGGGTAAAGGAGGTGTTGTGGACAAGGGGTTTAGACTTCCAGCAAGCGTGCGTGAGCGTGTTAGATAGGAGTGAATGGAGACAAATGGTATTTGGGGCCTGACGATCTGTTGGAGTGTGAGCAGGGTAATATTTAGTGAAGGGATTCAGGGAAACCGGTTATTTTATATAACCAGACTCGAGTCCTGGAAATGGGAAGTACAATGCCTGCACTCTAAAGGAGGGGTTTGGGATATTGGCAGTTTGGAGAGATATATTGTGTATTTTTATACGTATATACTTTTTTATACGTATATACTGTCATGTCTGAGGGCAATGTGTGGTGTGAATATAATGCAGAGAATTCGTAGTTTGGAAGTTAGGAGGAGGTGCGGGATTGCCAAAACTGTTGTCCAGAGGGCTGAGGAAGGGTTGTTGAGGTGGTTTGGACATGTAGAGAGAATGGAGCGAAACAGAATGACTTCAAGAGTGTATCAGTCTGTAGTGGAAGGAAGGCGGGGTAGGGGTCGGCCTAGGAAAGGTTGGAGAGAGGGGGTAAAGGAGGTTTTGTGTGCGAGGGGCTTGGACTTCCAGCAGGTATGCGTGAGCGTGTTTGATAGGAGTGAATGGAGACAAATGGTTTTTAATACTTGACGTGCTGTTGGAGTGTGAGCAAAGTAACATTTATGAAGGGGTTCAGGGAAACCGGCAGGCCGAACTTGAGTCCTGGAGATGGGAAGTACAGTGCCTGCACTCTGAAGGAGGGGTGTTAATGTTGCAGTTTAAAAACTGTAGTGTAAAGCACCCTTCTGGCAAGACAGTGATGGAGTGAATGATGGTGAAAGTGTTTCTTTTTCGGGCCACCCTGCCTTGGTGGGAATCGGCCAGTGTGATAATAAAAATATACTTCTAAACTGTTGTATTCTGATTATGTGTGAGTGAGGTGAAAGTGTTGAATGATGATGAAAGTATTTTCTTTTTGGGTCACCCTGCCTCGGTGGGAGACGGCCGACTTGTTGAAAAAAAAAAAAGTTTATATTCAAGAGGATCATAAACTCTAAAAAGAAAAAAAAAATGTGCTTTCAACTGTGACTTGAAAGCATGAACAGATCCCTGATTCCTGACAGACACTGGCAACCTGTTGAAAAATATGGGAGTTACTTTGCTTCTTGAGAATGAACCTAATTACCTCTTACTTCCCTGGTGCTGTATGACCTCTTTGGGTTTAGAACTTCCCATGAACATAATGATAATAGTGTACAGGTGTGAAATTATTCTCTGTACCTCTTATACACAGGCTATTTTATGTAGTCATGTACTGGGAAGTAAGTAGGGACATCACATAAGAACATAAGAAAGAAGGAACACTGCAACAGGCCTACTGACCCATGCAGAGCAGGTCCATCCCCCCCCCCCCCCAATTAGCCCAATGACTCAATCCTCCCCTGGATTAGCCAAGTGACCCACCCAGTCTGGTCACCTCCATTCAAGGAAGGAGCACGGCACCAGACCCAGCAGCACAAGCTAGTCAGGTCCAACTCACACCCACTCATGTATTTATCTAATCTATTTTTAAAACTACACAACGTTTTAGCCTCAATAACTGTACTCGGGAGTATGTTCCACTCATCCACAACTCTATTACCAAACCAGTGCTTTCCTATATCCTTCCTGAATCTGAATTTTTCCAACTTGAAACCATTGCTGCGAGTTGTCTTGTCTGGAAATTTTCAGCACGCTATTTACATCCCCTTTATTTATTCCTGTTTTCCATTTATACACCTCGATCACATCCCCCCTAATTCTACGCCTTTCGAGAGAGTGCAGATTCAGGGCCCTCAGTCTATCCTCATAGGGAAGATTTCTGATACATGGGATCATCTTTGTCATCCTCCTCTGTACGTTTTCCAGAGCATTTATATCCATTCTGTAATACGGTGACCAGAACTGAGCAGCATAGTCTAAATGAGGCCTAACCAAGGATATATAGAGTTGAAGAACAACCTGAGGACTTCTATTACTTATACTTCTAGATATGAAGCCAAGAATTCTGTTAGCTTTATTGCAAACACTAATGCACTGTTGTCTTGGTTTTAGTTTACTGTTAACCAGAACTCCTAATTCCTTTTCGCAATCAGTAGTATTAAGATCTACATTTTTTTTTTTTTTTTTTTTTTTTTTTTCCTCAACAAGTCGGTCGTCTCCCACCATTTAGAACTTTGCATTTGTCAATATTAAACTGCATCTGCCACTTCTCCGACCATTGCATCAGTCTATTCAAATCATCCTGGATTGGACGGTCTATTTTGGTGTCATCAGCAAATTTGCTTATGTCGCTATTTATTCCCTCATCTATGTCGTTTATGTAAATTGTGAACAACAACGGGCCCAGTACTGACCTCTGAGGAACACCGCTTGTGACGTGCCCCCATTCTGATTTCTCCCCATTTATGCAAACTCTCTGCTACCTATTTGTCAGCCATGCCTTTACCCAGGAAAAAGTTTCTCCTCCTATTCCGTGTGCCTAAAGTTTCCTCAATAGCCTCTGGTGTGGAACTCTGTCGAAAGCCTTACTGAAGTCCATATATACAATATCATATTCATTATCATGATCTACCTCCTCAAACACCTTAGTGAAAAAAGTTAGTAAATTTGATAGACAGGAATGCCCCTTTGTAAAACCGTGTTGAGATTCATTAATCAATCTGTGCCTATCAAGATGGCTACGAATTGCCTCAGCAATTATTGATTCCATAAATTTTCCCACTATGGAGGTAAGGCTTATTGGTCTATAGTTCAAAACCAAGAACCTGTCACCTGCCTTGTAAACAGGTATTACATTTGCCATTTTCCACTTATCAGGCACTATGCCAGTTTGTAGTGTTATGTTAAAAAGATTTGCCAAAGGTATGCTAAGTTCCTCTTTACATTCCTTTAACACCCTTGCAAACAGTTCATCAGGGCCTGGGGATTTGTTAGGTTTTAGTTTCTCTATTTGTCAGAGGACCATGTCACTAGTTACCACAATCATGCATAGTTTATTATCATCCTGTTCTACATAATCTATTATTTCAGGAATATCACTAGTATTTTCCTGGGTGAAAACTGAGAGAAAGTAGGTACTGAGAATTTCACACATATCCTTATCACTGTCAGTGATCAGACCAGAGTTACTCTTAAGTGGGCTAATCTTGTCCCTAATCTTACTTCTGTATACCTGAAAGAACCCTTTTGGGTTAGTCTTTGAATCCCTTGTGACCTTAGCCTCATAATCCCTTTTTTGCTTTTCTTATTCCTTTCTTTATTTCTCTCTTTAATTGAATATATTGATTTCTTAACTCCCCATCCCCTCTTTTGATACACCTATATATGCCTCTCTTTTGACCAGTGAGATGTTTTAATCTATTGTTCATCCATTTGGGATCATTTTTGTTAGATCTAATGCCCCTACTTGGAACAAAAGTTGTCTGGGCAGCTAGAACTATGCTCTGAAAAATGTCGTATTGGCAACCAAGATCACCTACCTGACCCATAGTCAGGACATCCCAGTTTAGCCCAGCCAGGTAATTTTTCAGTCCCATGAAGTCGGCCAAGTGAAAATCTGGGACAGAGATTTGATTGCAGTTATCTGGGTGATTCCATGATATATTGAAACTAAGTGATTTGTGATCACTTTCCCCAAGCTCATCATTAACCTCAAGATTATTAATTAGTGAATCTTTGTTGGCAAGAACCAAGTCAAGCAGATTGTTTCCTCTAGTTGGTTCTGTCACAACCTGTTCTAAAAAGCAATCCTGAACCGTATCAAGAAAGTCACTAGACTCGAGATTTTCTGTCATATTGTTCCAATCAATTTGTCTAAAGTTAAAATCTCCCAATATAACAACATTTTCATATCTAGATGCCTTATGAATTTCGTCCCATAACAGCTTACTGCACTCCCTATCAAGGTTTGGGGGCCTATAAATCACATCTAAAATTAATTTGTCACGTCCCTCGAGAAACTGTAGCCAAACAGATTCTGTGTTCGATGTTTCTAATCTTATATCATGTCTAAGACAACAATTTAAATTTTCTCTGACATACATTGCCACCCCACCACCCTTCCTGTTGACCCTATCAGTGTGGAATAGTTTATAACCCTGTATGTTGCATTGTTGACTTTGTGCATCTACATGTAGTTATGGTTATGACCATTTTAGAAATGCTGTTATTCAAAATTTTTGTGAATAACAATAACTTATGATCCCAAAGACACACATTTATTACAACAGTACACAGTGAACAGCTATGTAAGAGTATTTGACTGCATATACAGTTTTTTTTTTTTTTTTTTTTTTTTTTTTTTTTCAACAAGTCGGTCGTCTCCCACCGAGGCAGGGTGACCCAAAAAAGAAAGAAAATCCCCAAAAAGAAAATACTTTCATCATCATTCAACACTTTCACCACACTCACACATTATCACTGTTTTTGCAGAGGTGCTCAGAATACAACAGTTTAGAAGCATATACATATAAAGATACACAACATATCCCTCCAAACTGCCAATATCCCAAACCCCTCCTTTAAAGTGCAGGCATTGTACTTCCCATTTCCAGGACTCAAGTCCGACTATATGAAAATAACCGGTTTCCCTGAATCCCTTCACTAAATATTACCCTGCTCACACTCCAACAGATCGTCAGGTCCCAAGTACCATTCGTCTCCATTCACTCCTATCTAACACGCTCACGCACGCTTGCTGGAAGTCCAAGTCCTTCGCCCACAAAACCTCCTTTACCCCCTCTCTCCAACCCTTTCGAGGACGACCCCTACCCCGCCTTCCTTCCCCTATAGATTTATATGCTTTCCATGTCATTCTACTTTGATCCATTCTCTCTAAATGACCAAACCACCTCAACAACCCCTCTTCTGCCCTCTGACTAATACTTTTATTAACTCCACACTTTCCCCTAATTTCCACACTCCGAATTTTCTGCATAATATTTACACCACACATTGCCCTTAAACAGGACATCTCCACTGCCTCCAACCGTCTCCTCGCTGCTGCATTTACCACCCAAGCTTCACACCCATATAAGAGTGTTGGTACCACTATACTTTCATACATTCCCTTCTTTGCCTCCATAGATAACGTTTTTTGACTCCACATATACCTCAACGCACCACTCACCTTTTTTTCCTCATCAATTCTATGATTAACCTCATCCTTTATAAATCCATCCGCCGACACGTCAACTCCCAAGTATCTGAAAACATTCACTTCTTCCATACTCCTCCTCCACATATACAGGTACCAAAAAGTATATTGGCAGATGGGTTAAAGGTAATATTGACACAGCAATGTAGACGATAAGAAAGTTATTCTTACAGCAGATTTATCTCTCTCCCTTCCTTACTACTACATTAGGATAGTCTATATCCTAATATAGTAGTAATAGTTGATTTTCTGATTAGCATGTAATGTGATTAATTATATTTAACTTGGGATACTGTCAGGTGGGAGGATTATGCACTATGTTATTATGTAGAAGCAAAATTTATTTTGGTATTTATGCAAGGTGTGAAATATAAAAACATTTTCTCTTTCAGTATGCAGCAAGGAAACTTGAGGCGTTCTCTAATGTAAATGCAAATATCAAGAGGATAATTGTTGGAAAAGCCTTAACAGGGCATGATAACCTTTCAAAAATGAGCTTATGAATATCACAAATTGTCAACAGAAAAGTAATAAAATATGAAAATAAAATGGATGTATCGAGAGGTGTAGATGCTAAAAATTAATATAATTTTGTTCAAGTCAGTGTGAAAAACTATCATGAACATTAATATTTTCATTACCATTGTCATAATGTGCTGTGCCTGAAAATTTCATGATCATATTATCACATAAATGTACTTCCTCAGATCAAACATCTGGGTTTGGCACCTTGTGTATGTGTATGGATGAAAGAACATATGCATTCACATAGGATATCTTTATTAGAAACATGGAGACTGGCACAAAGCTGACACATGGAGAGAGAAAGAACAATTAGAGAGGAACTTCAAGATATTTCACCTGTGGAACAGGATTCTTCACTTGATACACAGGGATGCATAAGTATAGTTATACAAGTGTAGTCAGGCGAGTGGCCAGGTCACTGTAAGGGCACTGCAGGAGGCCAATCGGTCCTTCTGATAACCTCTTCATGTAAGACAAGACAATTGTAGCTTAAGGTAATTGGAAGAACTGGTAGGCTTCCAGTGCCCCTATCTCATACTTAACACAGTGACAGTCACTCTTCCTGACTATGCATGCATGTATGACCTTGTTATCCATCCCTGTGTTTGACTAAAGAATCCTGTTCCATAAGTGAAACACACCAATAAAGTTCTACTCTGGAACTGCATCCTTGCTTTCCCCTTTACTGGATACATTTCAGTCCAGGGACTTTAGTCACCCCAGATGATACAAGAGCAGAGAATAAGTGAAAATGATATATATAATGAATGCAAGTCATAGGTGATTGTCAGGTCATTTAACTGCCATGTCATATGGCATCTTGGAAGCAGTGTTTAGCATTATCACTTATGTACTAGTTAATATGATGTGTGCCTGCTCTTTGTTCTATAGCATTGGAAGTAGCAATTTAGAATGCTTCAGTACAGTGGTACCACTTCCTATCTGACTGCAGATCATTCCTGCATTGTTCCTGTGCATGAGTTGTCCCCCCATTAGACCTGCACATGACATGCTTTTCTGGTGTCATTCCAGTTACAAGTATATGTATTTGTGTTCTTAGATCCATGTGAAAATAGTGCTTACCTTTCCTCCTATGCAGATCTTATTGCATCCTCCACATGGTATGGCATACACTCCTACTTCACTGTTGGGTATCATAAGGATCTCTTCCATATGAGGTCTCAGATGGAAGACATGGCCATGTCAGTTACTTTAAAGATGTTACTTTTAGAAAAGGCCAGTGTGGTGGTGGTGGTGGCCACTTCTCCAGGCAGAATCAAGAATCTGAGTTTCTCAGTAGTGGAGGTAGAAGTGAGGAGACATAAGCATGTGAAGGCATGGGTAATGCACTGGAATTCTTCTTTTAAGAATTTATGACTGGAGATATAAGTAGCTCTTAAGAAAAACCCAATGATCACACCTTTTTTTTTTTTTTTTTTTTTGTACTGTTGTTGTGGGGTAAGTAGAAACGAGTAAAATCATCTTTATATGTGGGCTTTCTGTAGACTGAAACAAAGGGTTTCTTTGTTGGGTGACCTGCATAGGATATCAAGAAATGGTAGTTTGCCTTTGTTTTTCAGTTCAAGAGTGAATTGATAGTTTTTATGTTGATCTTCTGAAGGTCTTATATGTTAAATCGTATGGAGTATAGACCAGAATGCCATCAGTATATCTGAGCCACATAACTGTGTTAGGAATGATATTGCAAAAGGCTTCAGTTTCCAGTACTGCACTCAGTAAACTTTCAATACCTAAGTCAAATCACTGCTTGAAAAACTTTTTCACCTCAGGAGGAGTTGAAATTAACGGACAGCTTGATGATGGCTTGAAGTAATGGTGGAGTAGAAGTTTGTGTCACTTGTAAGTCTATGTTGAGTATATCAATGAAAGTAAAATGTAGACTTTCAGGTGACACCAATAACTTGCCTCTACACCACCATAACTTCATAGACCTCATTGAGCTGTGTGTTAATTTCAGTTCTTAAAGGTATGAGAATCATTTTTTCAAGCAGTGCTTTGACTTGGCTATGGGAAGTCCACTGAGCCCAGTATGTACTGGTAAAAAAAAAATTATGGAAAACTTGGAAGCTGATGTTTTGAAATATCATTGATAACCCACTGACCTGGCTAGGCTATGTTAATGACATTTTGGTCATGTATCCCAGAAGACTAAACAAAACCTTCAAAAGATCAGCAACATCAAATTCACTGTTCAACTATTGTTCTTGATGTTCTATGCCGGTCACTGAATAAAGACACCCTTTTGTTCAAAGCCTACAGACACTGACATTTGTGCCAAAAGAGCTATAATCATTGGGTTTTCCTAAAAGCTATCTGTATCTCCACTTCTAAATTCTTAGACAATAATTCCAGTTCATTACTTGTACCTTTACACACACTTCCCTCTCTACTTTATGCAAGACTTCTAAGACTATGCTCAACTCTATCAATAGTGCCATTACTGAGGATCCCAGATTTTACCTGGAGAAGAAGTATCCATCACCTTGCAGGTTGTGTCCAGAAGTAGCATCCATAGCTGCCACAGCTGTGTCTGTCTTCCATTAGACCTCACCAGGAAGAGAGATCCTTGTGACAATAGTGAAGGAGTGTATACTATACCATGAGGATGCAACAAGATATACATGGAAGAAACAGAGAGGCATCTTTCCACACAGGTCAATGAACATAAATCTGCATGTAGCTTGGATGATGCCAGCAATGCTTGTGTGGTACACAGGTCTAAAGAAGGACCATCTCATGCACTTGAACAATGCAGAAATTATCTACAAAGAGTATAAAAGGGATAAACACCACTATGTATATGTATTGAAGCATCCTTAATTGCTGCTTCCAACACCACAGAACAAAGGGCTGGCAAATACTTCTTGAGTACTCTTTTACTCGTGATACTTCTCCATCCTACTACCCAGCTGCCCTGTAATACAGCAATTAGTTGACCTGACACCTTCATCTGGTCATCACCCATGACTTTCATTTTCCACTATATATACTGTTTTCTCATTCTCTTGTATCATTTGCAGACAATGGCCCAGGACTGAAAGGTATCCAATAAAGATGTTCTTACCTCCATTTTGTCACCTTCAGTATACCATTTACCTTCATGAACATGTGTATTAATAAAGCATCTGGATTGGGCATCTTGTGAATATAGTAATAAAAAAATACTGACAAGTAGATAAGACACATGTACAGCCCTTTTGGTATCTTTTTCTGAAACATTTTGCCTGCACATCAACCTTCTTCAATCAGATGCAGAGGTGATGGTCATACTGGATTCTATTGAAGAAGATTATTATTATTATAATCAAAAAGAAGCGCTAAGCCACAAGGACTATACAGCTATTGAAGAAGAGATTTTGAGAGGTTCAGTTTCTCAGCCTTGATAGACACAGAGAGGTATTTATGAGATATTCAGGCCATAGCATTAGGCAAAGATGTGGATTGGAGAACTTCTACCAAGACGGAGGGACTGAACACTTGAAAGTCTCTTCAATTGTCTCCAGTATGTCACCTCTGTATTTAACTGAAGAAACTTCCTGCAGAGGTAAAGCATTTGAGAAATAAAGATACCTAACTGCTGCACATGTCTTGACATATAACCCAGTGCCCTTGTGGTTTAGCACTTTTTTTTATTATAATAATATAACCCAGTTATTTCACTGAATGTGCTAAGCTGTATAACCTGAAGATGTACAACCCATATATTTGGCATTTGTTTTAAAATATAATAATACATAATCTAAATGACATGGAACACTTTTTAATTTCATGCTGATTACCACACATTACCAGTCTTGAAACTATGGCATTAGCATAAAATTTTTGTTGATTGGGTCAGGGTTATTATACTTCATCTGAGGAATAGGATAACAGGTCCAATTCCTTGGATCAAGGGCTCTTACCATGTATTATTTAGAGCTGTATGATCCATCTGGTTGCTCTTTTTGAAATGGAATTTACACAATCAGATTTGGTAATGGACAAAGCATGTTTCAAAAAGATGGATAAAGGATACAGAGGTATGATAAAGTGTGCAATATGAGTGGTGTGAGTTGCAGCTAGTATCTGTCTAGTAAAAATGTTACTCACGAAATCGTAATGACACGATTGCAGACAAACCATACCATGGGTGGGGTTTGAACCCACGGTCAGTCATCACGGCCATGCTAACGGGAGATTCGTCTGTAAACCTTGCATTTGTGGTCACAGTGTATGGTGTAGAAATATACCTAGTTGGATGAATCTTATTGAAGCTAGCTGGCCCAGTGGCTAATGTGACGGTCTGGAGTTTTGAGAGACTGACCGCGGGTTCAAACCCCACCCGTGGTATGGTTAGTAAAAATATTGTATTGTAACTAATATCTGGATTGTTACAATACTGTATTTCATCCAGTATCTGGATACTTGAGAGTTCTTCACTCTGCATGGGAACCCTTTGATATTGGTGACACACACAGTTGGTGCAGAGCAAACATTTATTATAGACATTTTACTCTGGGTATTTGTGATAAATGGTTTGAAAACCGACAAGTTGAAGATTGAGACACTTATGCAACATATGGGAATCTTTATTAAGGAAACATTTTGCCACACAGTGGCTTCTTCAGTCAATATAAAAGCAGAGAGGGGTGAGGTGGGGTGGGGGGGGTAAGGACAGGAGGGGTTTGAGCTAATCAGTCCCTCAGCCTGGAATCAATGTGTTCAGTCCATCACTCTTGTAGAAAGAGTGGACTAAACACATCGATTCCAAGTTGAGAGACTGATTAGCTCAAACTCCTCACCTTACCCCTTTCTGCTTTGTACTGACTGAAGAAGCCACTGTGTGGCAAAACGTTTCCTTAATAAAGATTCCCGTATGTTAAATAAGTGTCTCAATCTTCAACTCTGGGTATTATCATCATTCAGCACTATGACCCTTTCAGGTTAAGTGCTTAATTTTTTTATTATTACGGAAAAGTGTAAACCGATGGGGGTCATACAGCACCTGGGGAATGGAAAGCAATCAGGATCAGTCCAGATGTGGAGGACAGGTATAATTCTTCGTATCATGAGTCTCTTATTGGCATAAATGCACCTTCCTTGAGGGTTCATTCTGGGTTAAGTTTTGTCACATCATGACTTAATAAAGCAATAGCCAAAGATAAACATTGTCTCTAATAAAGGTTTGCTCTACATCAGAATTCTTTCTACCATACAGTTAAACACTGCTGAGTGGGGCCAGTAACTGGGTGGGGTTCTTCAGTAGACCAAACCTCATCCTTAGTGAAACTTTTGTAAGCCATGGCCCTTGTGGCTTAGCGCTTCTTTTTGATTATAATAATAATTGTAAGCCATGAATGGGCATAGTGTTTCTGAAGGAGACCTGAGCCAGGAGCAGCATCATGAAAAATCTTCTGGCAACACAGTGTCCTCAAAAGTGTTCATCCACATCCAAGCTAGGTCCCATTGTTGTGTTGAAAGCTCCCTAGATGTGTTCTTAGAGTCCTGATGAGGCTTTCCAAGGTCCTAGTGACATGTGCAGAGACTGAAAGATGAAACCATGTGTGAATGTATCATTATTTGTCATTTATGAAATAAGAAACTTTATGACCCACACAGAGTTTGGCACATTTTTGTGATAATGATATGGAATAAGAAATAAAATTTAACCTAGTCTATAGATATATTTTTAATGCAAAATGATGGCTGACCTATGGTGCAAATCCATGTGGTGGTCCTTTGTTGTGAGCCCTAGCTGCCTCAACCTCCGTAAAACCCTAGTCCAGTTTTCTTGGGGCTGATAGATGAATCCTTCATCTTCATTCTGCCCTAATCTTGTCTAAATTGGACTTTGGTGACCAACTGTATTTTTCAGCCTTCACTATTACTCTTTCTAAACTTGATACTACATATTTATCATCATGGATTAAGTTTGTGTTTTAGGGCTTTTTTGTTCTTCCCCAGTTTAGAGCCTATATGCACCATTCCATCTTTGCAAGATTGGTGTGATACCTGCATGATCCTTCCACATATAAGAGTAACAAATGTTAGTAGAACTTTTGTTTAATCATTGGCCCTATTTATTGTGCTTCTTTCCTCTCTGTATTTGCCTTTTAATGGCCTCCCTTCATTTACCTCCCCTTTACATCCATCCTGCATCTTACTTTTCTCTTCCTCCTTGGAAAATTCAGACAATTCGTGTTTACTCTTCCCCAATTTGGTATGCAAAAGCTCACTGCCTGCTATAACTTTACACTTTTTTCTTGATCACTTCCATTCTCATTCTCATGCTATTCAGTTGATCTGATGGTTTCAAATCCCATGCTGGTGTTGGGTATGTAGCAGTTTTTCCTGACAAAATCATGTGAGGTCATTTACTAGACTCAGGTAGTGTTTTCACAGCCAAGTTGTATGCAGTTCTCATGGCTGTCGTATATACTGCATCGCTGTTCGCCATGTCATTCCTAGTTTCAGATTACTGCAGTATGCTACAGGCTATCCAGATATCTACTTCCCTCATCCCACTGTCTTTTAAATACAATTTTGGTTATGCTGCATTTCTAGTAAACACAAATACGTCATTTTTTGCTCTGTCGCTGGGTCCCTAGACACTTTGATGCTCGGGGTAACAATGTACAGGCAGACTCAGCCACTTGACCACTTGTTCATGTCCTCACAATTTCACACGGGTATTCTTTTCTCAGACTATTTTTCAGTGATTGTTTGACCACTTTCCAACAGCTGGTCAGAGCTGGACCACAGAAAATTTTCTGTCAAACCACACTTGAATTTCTGGCCATATTCCCACCAATGTTCTCCCACCTATGTATTAGCTACATGCATCTTACTCACGGACACTTCATGGAAAAGATGCTTGGCAACGCTCTGCAGGGATTGTCAGGTTGCGTTGTCAGTTCATATTGTAATGCTATTGATTGTCCAAGCTATCAGTGAGCACACAGAATTCACTTGCAATGTCTCCACCATCCCAACACACACTAACTTAACTCCTTGTTGAAAATCCTACCTTGACTTCAACAGAAACTAACTTATTGCACCAGCTTTGATTTTATTGTACCTTTTGCACTCTACCCTACCCCTACTAACCTTTACCTTTACACACTCCTGCCACTCACTCCCTCCTAACCTCCACATATTCTTCCTTTAACACATCCCTCCCTATAGTTCTGTATGATCTTTCAGGCTAAGTGCTTAATTTTATATTATTATAATTATTATTATTTTGTGAAGTCATGTTAGTGGTGTGTACCCAGGTGTATTGCAAACTAATGTTTTGTCTTGCAAACCCATGTTTTGTGTGTTCTAAACCTGTGTAGCAACCTTATGCACCTGTTTCACTATATTACCAGTCTCATTGGTACAGATCGTTTAGTAAATAAAGGATGATGGCAAATATCTGGAGTGTACACAACCTCTGAGGAGGTGAATATCCCAGTAAAAACTGTTGGTGAAGGCTGTGTGGACGTTGGTGAAGGCTCTGTGGGGGGGGGGTCATAGGGGTTGAGTCACAGCTCCTGGTTAGCCGCTACTAGGTCACTCTCTCACTGCTCCACTTGCTTTATCATACCTCTTCTTAAAGCTATGTATGGGTCTTGCCTCCGCTACTTCACTCTCCAGATTATTCCACTTCCTGACAACTCTTCCTCACATCCCTATGACTCGTATGATTTTTCAACTTTCAGTTGTGCTCCCCTCCCCCACCCATCCATCTCTTGAAACATTCTGTCCCTATCCACCTTGTCAATTCCACTCAATATTTTATATGTCGTTATCATGTCTCCCGGTGCACATATGCTGCAGCAGTTATGTGCTTGATGTGTACCTCTGGAGATGTGCTTGGTATGATGCTCACTCTAAGATCTTTTTCCTTGAGTGAGGTTTGCAGCCTTTGACCTCCTAAGCTGTACTCTACCTGTGGTCTTCTTTGTCCTACCATAAACTTCATGACTTTGCACTTGCTGGGGTTAAACTCCAGGAGTCATTTGTCAGACCAGGCTTGCAGCCTGTCAAGATCTCCTTCCAGGCTTACCTGATTCTCGTCCACTTGTATTTTGCTCATTAGCTTTACATCGTCTGTGAACAGGGACACCTCTGAATCTATTCTTTGCCATGTCATTCATATATACTAAAAACAGCACAGGATCTAGGACTGGCCCTTGTGGAGCCCCCACTCGACACATGCACCCACTCTGATACCTTGTCATGTACCAGCGCACATTCTTTCCTGTCAGGTGTGTGTGTACTCACCTAATTGTGGTTGCAGGGGTCGAAACTCAGCTCCTGGCCCAGCCTCTGCACCGAGTGCTACTAGGTCCTCTCTCTCCCTGCTCCACGAGCTTTATCATACCTCATCTTAAAGCTATGTACGGTTCCTGCCTCCACTACATCACTTGCTAGACTATTCCACTTCCTGACTACTCTGTGACTGAAGAAATACTTCTGACATCCCTTTGACTCATCTGAGTCTTCAACTTCCAATTGTGACCCCTTGTTTCTGTGCCCCATCTCTGGAACATCCTGTCTTTGTCCACTTTGTCTATTCCAAGCAGTACTTTGTATGTTGTTATTATATCACCCCTAACCCTCCTGTTCTCCAGTGTCGTCAGGCCGATTTCCCTTAACCTTTCTTTGTAGGACATTCCCCTTAGCTCTGGAACTAACCTTGTCACAAACCTTTGCACTTTCTCTAATTTCTTGACGTGCTTAATCAAGTGTGGGTTCCAGACAGGTGCTGCATACTCCAGTATGGGCCTGACATACACGGTGTACAGTGTCTTGAACAATTCCTTACTAAGGCATCGGAACGCTATTCTCAGGTTTACCAGGCGCCCATATGCTGCAGCAGTTATCTGGTTGATGTGTGCTTCCAGAGACGTGCTCAGCGTTATACTCACTCCCAGATCTTTCTCCTTGAGTGAGGTTTGCAGTCTTTGGCCACCTAGCCAATACTCCGTCTGCGGTCTTCTTTGCCCTTCCCCTATCTTCATGACTTTGTATTTGGCAGGGTTAAATTCGAGAAGCCAGTTGCTGGACCAGGTGTCCAGTCTGTCCAGGTCTCTTTGAAGTCCTACCTGATCCTCGTCTGATTTAATTCTCCTGATTAACTTCACATCATCTGCGAACAGGGACACCTTTGAGTCTATCCCTTCCATCATGTCATTCACATATACCAGAAATAGCACTGGTCCGGGATCGATACCATGCCTAACCCTTCTAGGGTAGGGTAGGTGCCTGAGCCCGAGCCTTTAGCTCATAAGACTGTCATTCCCATTAGCCCCCTTGCGGCGGGGATGGCAGACCAAAGAGGCCTAGCTTGTGGCTAGGCCTGGGGACAGTTGGTCCCAAAGATGAGGAGGTACTTGTGCCTCCTCCCATGGGAGACTTAGGTCTCAGACACTCCCTAAAGAGGGAGCCAAGGCCGGGCCACCACTTGGAAAAGGCCCGGGCCGGGAGAATACGGCTAATCTTTAATAATAATAAGCACTGGTCCTAGGACCGACCCCTGTGGGACCCCGCTCGTCACAGGTGCCCACTGTGATACCTCATCACGTACCATGACTCGTTGTTGCCTCCCTGTCAGGTATTCTCTGAGTGTGTGTGTGTGTGAAAGCTGTGTACATGTTAAATTACAAACGCATTTTTTGAGGTACTGGTTAGGAAAATGAAGCGAAAATTATTTAATACTTATCAGTGATAATTTTAACATATATAACTTTCACATAACCTTAGCGAAAATAAGTTTCAGTGAAAGTCTTATTTTTACACAGGTTTTTCACGTCTGTAGGAAGTAATGATCAAAAAATAATTGTGCCATGTGAATTGCCAACTATGGTAGAATAAAAGACCTTAACAACACTGACATGCTACAATTATTTCGTCAATTTTTTCCCAGAAATTTGAAAATCCTTGTTTACAAAACTTTTTTTTATCTAACCTGACCATTAACTGAAGTCCTAGAATATGCTAATTATTGTTTCTATTTAATAATATTCCTCCATTTTCTTATATTTAAGAGTATATATGGTTGTGATTTTCAGAAATATCGAAAACTTGAAAAAAACATCAAAAATTGTAAATCATAACCAAATTTTCTCAAAATTGGCAAGTGACATGCTAAAATATTCGTTTCATTAATTTCTACAAATGTAAAAACACACACACAAAGCTTTCATTGAGAGTTACATTACCCTAGATAGTTATTTTACGTACAAAAAGTTATATATAATTCAGTTCTCTCAGTATTTAATCATGGTTAAGTTTTGTTACATCCTGTTCTTATTGATCCAAACAACTGGAGTTGATCTTCCTTTATTATATCAAACCTGATTATCTCTAATTCTCCATGACTGCGTACAACAAACGTTAAAGAAAAAGTATCTGGGTGTTAATGAACGGTCGTGGTTCATCCCTGAGAAAAATACAATGCCAATGTGTGTGTGAAACCCAAGATGTACTGTACGTCACATCCTGGGCACCAATGTGTAAGACAACTCCACACATGCTGCTAGTGTTCTAGTGTATTGTATAGGGTATCCACCAGATTGTTGACGATCTAATATCACATTATCTAGCAAGCTTTTCTTTACGGATTGGTGGAACACTGAAATGGTATCCAATAATAAATAAACACTGAAGACAGGACACCACAAGCACAGTTCT